GACGGTGTGGGGGGTAGAGAAGATGACGGTAGGGAGGGGGTAGAGAGATGCAGTGTGGGGGTGGGGTGAGAAGATGACGGTAGGGAGGAGGTAGAGCAGGTGATGGTGGGGTAGAGAAGATGACGGTAGGGAGTAGAGCAGGTGACGGTGTGGGGGTAGAGAAGATGACGGTAGGAGGAGTAGAGCAGGTGTTGGTGTAAGGGTAGAGAAGATGACGGTAGGGAGGGGGTAAAACGGGTGACGGTGCTGGACAATAAAGAAGCACAGCACAGGACTGAGTCGACCAGTACGAGTGGTAAAGGTTCACTTCCAGATTCTCACTGACATATATTACTTGTGTGTTCTGTCTGTCCACATCTTCACTGGATAACAACAGCGAGCAGAGTTGTGGCTTATACCATAAAGTCAAAGGTTTTCAGTAGTACAGGACATCTTATGGGGTGCCCAGTCAGTGTCGAGTCGTATCTAGCATGTCATCATGGCTCGGTAAGTAAATGATCTTTATGAACTCCCACAGGTCGTCTATCTTCTCCGTTTCGCCGTTTATTTTGCTTCTTATATAAATGGATTCATTTGACTCCTTTCTCCCGTCCTGCCAACACGCACCACCTTCAACCCACCTGGATGAAGGAGTAACTGGGTAACTGAGCACATCAGGGGTGGTGTCTTGATCCATGAGAAGCTGTCCAGTACTTGGTGGGAATGTCTTGTTGCCCTCAGCCAGGATGTAAACCTCTGGAGACACACTCAGATAAGTGTATGGGACGAATAGGATCAGACCTAAGACATCCCCTGAGCGACGCCACTTAACACTGCACTTCATTACTTGTCTGTCTTCTGTCATGTAAGGAAGATAAATCCACTGTAAGGTTACACCATAAAGTTACAGCCGTTGAATTTACCAAGCAGACGCCTATGTTGAACCTTATCTAATATATTACTTTTAAAATGGGCTCTGGTTATTCTGGTACATGTGTTCACTCACCTGTAAACAATCAAACGTAAAAATATGTAACTTGAAGACCTTTTGTTAGAATATCAATATCGTGTACAGTATCAATAACCAAGGATTTTTTTCGCTTCGTAACAGATAACTCAAGAACACAGTGGCGTTGATATGCACCATTAACTCTATAGTAACGAGTTGTTTTATTGCCTGTTGAAGTGCCCGGGTCCAGAGGTGTACTGTGGTGAGCAACCGGTCGAGTAGGTCCTAAGTGTTGAGTTTATCATGATCGTCATTCCCACAATTCCATATTTATTCGTCTATAAGAAATTGATTTTTCTGTTCTCTTGTGAACATCATTTTCACATTTTCATTTTTCTTCGTTTATTCAGATTGTATATTTAATGAAACGTTAAATAAATATAATGTATGGATAGATTGTTAATGTAGTATCTATCTCCAGTTTAATCTTGTGATACATAATTGCATATTTGTTAATGGGTAAATGAGGAAGAAGAGAGAGTCAATAAAAACATAATAACTAAGGTGGTGTAGCCTCTGGTGTGTCATCATCAGGGAGACAGTCCGTATGCACTCACGTCATCCTCACTCCGACAACACAACGCCTCGCCATCACCAAGGTTCAACATAGTTTCAATAATATTGCATAAAAAATAATTGAATTATACAATTCCACGAATGATCCCAGAACTATCTTAAGTGATCTGAGGTAACAGGAGTGTATTCATTGTTTCAGTAGAAGAATTGTGGCTTGTTAAAAATCGATACATTGCTTCATGAAGCTCTTTCTCATAACTTGTAATTATTATTGAACTAGTGTTATTACTATCTTTGTTACGCGCTTAAAGACCTTAGGCTGCGGGGGCACTGAGAGCGGGCATGCGGAGTTGGGGCAGGCTGGCGCTTTGAATGGCTATGTATGTATGAGTTTACTCGTAAAGGTTTTAATTATGACTAAAATTTATTATTTAAGACGAGAATAGGAAAATAATCTCTCTCTCTCTCTCTCTCTCTCTCTCTCTCTCTCTCTCTCCATACATACTGTACATCGTTTTTATATTTGTTAATAATTCTTAAACTTTATACTTCTTTAGGCACAAAAATCAAACTTATACACAGTAAATAATGATAATCACAATAATATTGATAGCAGTATTATTATTTTTTATTTTTTACGGGAATTAGCCCACCCGGGCACAGGTCAAACGACCCACAACGGAGCCTGGGGGGCGAAAAAAAAGAACGGAAAGAAATTGTAAATATAGAAAAAAAAGTTATACTGTATTAATCTACACCAGGAAGATGCCGGAAAACCAGCTTTTTAAAGTGAGACAGATTGTATGATTATGGAAACACAGAAGAAGGCAGAGCATTCCACAGTTTGGCTGTGTGAGGAAAGAAGGAGGTACTATAATGGGTTATTCTCCTGTGACCGACATCCACAGAGAAACGGTGGGCACCGCGGGCAAGACGTGTGTTACGAACCCACGGCCTTGTCGGCGGTACACAGGATGCCAAATCCACCGAACATTGTCCGTTAAAGTACCTGTAAAAGAGAGAGAGTGAAGCAACATTGCGGCGAAGAGAAACGGAAGAGAGAGTGCCTTTGATTCCATCCTATATAATAGGTAGACAGAAGAAGAGCCACCCCAGATATGAGAGCAGCACTCCAAGTTAGGACGAATGAATCCCTTATATACTTGGAGCAACTGCTCAGGAGTGAGGTAGCTACGGCATCTGTACAGCTTTCCCAACTTTCGGGAGGTAGCTTTAGTTATACTAAGGATGTGTGATTTCGAGGACATATTGGAGGAAATGGTGAGGCCTAAGATATTTATTTCAGAATTTGGGAGGATGATAGCGTCCTGAAATGTAATTGGTGGGAGATCGTCTAATTTACAAAGTGTAATTGGTAAATATTGAGTTTTATTACTTTTGAACTTAACCAAGTTTGTGCCTCCCCATTCAGAGATGCTGCACACATCCGCGTTGATAGAAGTAATGATATCCGTTCGAGAAACAGATCTAGTTTGAGAGTTAGGAGGAAGGGGAAAATGTGAGGAAGAGTGAAGAGTAGAATCATCAGCGTAAGAATGGATAAAATTAATTGTAGTGTGAAGAAGGAAGAGAGTTGGTGAAAGAGCAGAACCCTGTGGGACGCCACTACTGGTGGAGAAAGAGCGAGAAATCGATCCCTCGACAACAACTGCCATGGATCGGTTCTCAAGGAAGCTAGAGATGAGAAAACAAAGTGGGGGAGAGAAACCAAAAGAGGGAAGTTTAGATAGCAAAGACTTGTGCCATACCCTGTCACATGCTTTGGAGATGTCGAGAGCCACGACAAGAGTTTCCCCATAATCCCTAAGAGAGGATGACCAAAGATGGGTGCAATAGGAGAGCAGATCACCAGTAGATCTCGCCTGGCGAAAGCCATACTGGTGATCCGACAAAAGAGAAAGGCGTTCAAGGTGACGGAGAAAATGGGAGTTCAAGATAGCTTCGAAAATCTTAGAGAGGGATGAAGTTAGGGCAATGGGGCGATAGTTAGAGGGATTAGAATGGTCACCCTTCTTCGGGATGGGCTGAACCAAGGCATGCTTCCAAGAAGAAGGAAAAGTTCGGGTTTTGAGGCAAAGGCGAAAGAGGCGAGCAAGCACAGGGGTCAGGGCTTCAGCACCCTCCTTCAGAACACGAGGGGGTATTCCGTCCGGTCCAAGCGCCTTACTCACATCCAACCTGGATAATAATAATAAACCTGGTCACCGCGCGTGCGCTTACCTTACTCATGACGATAAACAAATGTCACGTGACTAATGATTTAATTTGCAGGCGGATTACACTTCCCTGTTAAGTATATCGCATCGTATGTTAAGTCATAAACCCTCCATTGTAATGCTTACCTGAATGATTTTACTAATAAAGTATTTTTCAAAGACTTACTATTTCATTGACCTTAGAATGCAAAATACAGGAACACGAATATACAACGTAGAGTGAGTTACTGTGTATATACTGAGATATTCATAGTGTATTCTGTGTGTGATATTACGTGTATATATTAATAGTTTGCTCCATGATTTAGAGTTCTAAAGTATGTAATTAGATTCTTTCCAATTTTTTAGCATCCATGAACGACTCCAATTACTGCACTTTGAGAATCGATTTTTTTTTACTTCTATAACAAAGAAAATATATATAAGTAACTTAACTATAACATCATGGCAATATAATAACTATGATAATTCTTAAATAATGAATGAAAATAAATAATAAATAACGAACTCTCTATCCCCTTCCCCTCCCACCTCCTTCCACCACCCTCCACCCCTCCCGCCCACCTCCCTCCCTCCCTCCTCTTTACCTAAGCAGTTAATCTCATCATGTCTTAATAGTAAATTATTTATATTATTGATGACTATTGACTCTCTTGTTAGAATGATTTAGATTGACATGTAAAGACTTAGATTATTGTTGTTATTGATAAGTGTTAACTATGTTGTTCCCCTCAGGTTGTGATCATCAATGAAGTGGATCGTCTCCTCGTTCTCTTGTACACGATGACTTGTGACCATTATAACTTGCCCTTGTTTATGTTGGGTATAAGTAACAGTTGATTCTCATAGTCAATAGGGTTCAGTTTTAGCTTTTATTGCGTGGCTTGTAGCTTTTTGTGTTTATAGTTGAGATCAGGTTGTTGCTTTTATTTTTGCTAGAATGTTATATTTTTTTACGGTTCACATATAATGGTTTATTTTAACAGTGTTTGTAGGTTTTTCTTCAGTAATTTGGATCAGATTTTGTTCTTCCTACGTAGCTTAAGCGATTAAAAGTTGACTTCATTGTTTTATATACGAATTCAAAAGCAAATTTCAGGTTTTATTATAATGGATCTGTAAGATGAGAATATGGTCGGTACACGAGTCATTAGCAGTGGCTAGTATTACCTATTAGTTATAACCTGGATATTTCAACGTTTCTAATTATAGCTGTTGTTTATTTTATTAAAATCAAATGAGATTATTTTTTTTTACAGAAACAACAAAGATAAAGGATCGGTGATACTCAGAGGTCAAGTGACACGCGAGTCTTCCTGAACATTGAACACTCCTTAGTAATTATAGTCCAAAAATAAACAAATAATTTTACATTAACTCCCGCGTGTTTAAGCGAAGTAAACACATAAACAACGGGGCCACAGTTTGGTCGTTGAGAACCAAGTGGACTTGTTAAGGGTTGTGAGGGTGGCGGCCTGAGACACGTGAAGATGACGGGCGGGAGATGTGTGATGGTGGCGGTGGCGGTGTGTGTGTTGGTGCTCACATCCCCAGCTAGCAGTGGCCAGTACCAGCTGTCACGCACCTCTACAGATGACCACCTCCACCGTGTACTCCGGGAGGTCGCAGAAAAACAACAGCCTGTAGAAGTTCCACCTCATACAGAACAGCAGGAAAGAAGATTTCCTTACATTTTCGATGAGGTCGCCGCGGTAGCCCAGAAGAGGAGGAAAGTTGCCGTAGGGGCGCCATACACCTTGGTGAAGAAACAGCTGGAGTCTTCAGGGCACTACGAGCACACCGTCAACACCGCGGAGGCCATAAACCTGCCGACGGTAGACAAACTCGCCCAGGCCCAGAAGAGAAGGTGAGGACCATGTTTACTGAAGTTATCATCTCTCTTCTTGTTGGTGGTCGCTATATTTTTTTTGTCTTAGTCTTGGTGGGACTTCTGGAACTCAACAACTGGATCAAATTCTTCGCATTACTTTTTGTTTTCGTTCACGAGAGGAACCCATAACATTATCTTCACATTTTCAAAACTATAATCAAAGTAACTGATTTTTTGAATCAGTCTGTCGTCAGCCATTTGCATAGATACTTTTAACAAGTAAATGCTTGTTATCCTATCTTTGATGAAATTTTAATCTGAGATCAGTTAAGTGATATACGCAGATATATACTCGGTATTTACAAGTCACTGATATCTGTACCCTGACAAGGTCATTATTTATGTGCTACTGAGGTTGAACCACGTCATTTATCCAGAAATATTCATAACATTCGCTGTGTTAAGTTTCAAGATTACCTTATAATAAATAGTTTTCAACTTTCTTTTACTAAGTTTTGTACCGTAATGTGACAGTGACACTCTTACGACCGCTCATGAAAAGTAACGCTTTGATTTGTGTCACATTACCTTGTGAAGTGTCGAGACTGTAACTCTGTATCATCGTTGTTAAAGTTTCAGTAACTAACACAGTATTACTCTCTATTGTGGCTGTCAGCTTTAGCTGCATTAATTAACCTTACTAACATAAGAGGAAAATCTAGTACCATACCAACAACTTTCTTCATACCTTAACATATACTGACTCTTCCCTCCCTCATGTGACAACGCTACTCTGACTTTATTAATAAGAAAGTGTGATATTCTTCAAAAAAATAAGATATACAACAAGTTTTAATATGAAAATCCTCACCAGACCTCAGGGACAGTGGCCGTTTCGGTCACTCAGCAAGACGGAGCTGGACTTCATTGGTATTATGGCAGCCATCATAGTGAAGCTGGTCATGTCAACGGCCCTGGCCACCTGGTTCATGGCGGCCGGTCAGGTGCTGTACGGCATCGCTTCCTTCACCAGCGGCACCAGCATCTTCGGCATGGACTCCGCCATCAAGTTCATCTACCTGACGGTACCTTTTGTGGAGGCTCTCATGAGAGGAGACACAGCCTTTACTCAGTAGCCTCACAACTCACCCACCCCATGGTGACTCCACCTCCATGGCTACCTCGCCTCCCATGTGTATTACTCCAGGCCCGGAGTCTCACAGAATCTTACATTAGATTCTGTTGACTATGTCCTCCCACTGTTGACCACCTGACCAACTGTTACCATTTAGAGGTTGACGGGTTGTTAGGTGTTAAGTGAGTCACGCGCCCCAACGGCAAATTCACTGACCTTTTTCGTGGAAAACAGCTTACACCTAAGATACTGATTGTATTAAACATTCAACAGAAATAAAATGACAGTGAATTCGTTGATCTGGCGGTGTGACTCATTTAACACCCAACATCTCGTCAACCTCTGGGCGGTAGATCATAACTGGTTTATGAGGACACATCTCACTAACTTATTTAAACCTCATTACAAAAATAATGGTTCTTGTGGCTCCAGAAAATCTGGCTCACATTAAGGAAGTGTTCCCTGAGCCGTGATGGTGAGGATGATTATGTTCGAATCTTTGAGAGTTCGGCGCCTGAGGTGACTCACACGAGGCATGAGGTGAAGTGTCCCACCCATCCTTAACATATGTGAAGTATTTTATCTATTTATTTATTTATATATCTGTCTACCTATCGAATTATTTATTGCTATAATAGTCGTAAAAATATTTGCCTTTAATTCACAAGTATGTGATGAAAATCGTCATAAAAGTTAACGGCAATATACTGTACGTAAAGTATCGTTAACTTTTGTCGTCAAGGCTCAACAACAATCCCTATATATGACTCCAAGAGTCTAATCAAAACAACGTTACGCTTTCCGCTTTACTCGCCCCTCACCTAAGGCCACGGCAATGTGGATAAATATCTCATGAACTTTAACCGTTGATGGAATACCTTAGCTATTGAGCCACCGCATGATGGTGGAACACACAACATTGTACTAAATAATATCAAAATTATTTGTATGGTTTAATTTAATATTTGTTTGGTTCGTGTCGTCTACATAACGCCCCTGTTCCCTCTTTAACATTGTACGAGTGTTTAATCCGCCCTTATCCACTGTTACTGCGCACGCTGGGCAAGGACAACCTACCACCTAAAACATCTTATTTGTGTACAGCACTTGGTATATCTTGACCATGACGACATAGTATAATGTTTCATATTTGGAGAATTTTCTCTCATAAATTTTTTAAGAGGATAATTAACATAAACAATATATTTATAATTCCTGACAATTTACACGTCGATGCATTAAAGGTACTGTTGAGATCCTGGTACTTTGTTAAGAACCGTTTATTATCAAGTAATTTGTTTTAATTTCTAAGTGTAAGAAGAAAATGTACATAATATATCACTGAAAAATTTGGGTGTGGGTGTGTCATGTGGCAGAGTGGCTCACTTACCTACCGAGAAACTTGTACGAATTATATAGTTGTTAAGGAAACCAAAGGTCGGCGGACCTAGTGATGAAATAATGTAAATTGTATTGGGATCAATTGAAGATTAACTCCCAGTTTATTTCACTTTAATATTAACCACCCTAATAATAACCCTAACCTAACCTAACCTAGTCTCACCTAACACAAAATAACGTAACCTAACGTGATGTAACTTAGCCAAACCTAACCACCTTAACCTAGCCCCCGAGGTAGCGTTAGGATGTTTAATCATCATTTGTTATAAGCTGGAGGGTCAATCTTCAGGTGATTCTTGTAATGTGTCATATACAGTATCTGTATACAATGTCCACTGCACGCTGACTATTGTCGTCTAGTTTGCACAGGTTCATCTTCTGCAAAACTTATACTTTCAATTAATAAGATTTTTTTGTTTACAATTGTTTGAGTTTTATTTACCTGGCGATGTGCTGCTCAGGTGTTACTTGATGTTGAAACTACCACTGTACAGCGGTGGGAGGCCTGACCGCGCCTTGGTCTCCAGAAGGGGTAGGAGTTTCCGTCCAGTCATCACTAGGGTACTACTGGGCTTCTTGATATCTGATATTTTGGGGATCACCTGAAGATTAGCCATCCCAGTGCTAACCTAACTTAGGTTACTCTTCAGGTGAAATAAGCTGGGTGTCTAATCTTTAAATGGCCCCAGTTATGGAATCCAAATGAAAATACAGTATGAAGATTATTAGATAATATACTGTATAGTGGTACACGCAGCTGTGGTTAAGTGGGGCATCTGCCGTGTATTTATACTGTAAAGGGCTATTAATAATTAACAAGACAATAATACCTGTAGTAAAACCACATGCGTTTCTGGTTGATCTCTGAATCCCCACAAAAACTGTCCATATCAGTAGCTATACTCTCGTCTTGACCACTCTAGAAAGTCCTCAAATTTTAAGATATTTACCATGTATTAGATATATGTGTATCTAAATAATATGTGCTTCTTGCGCCTATAGTTAATTACAACGTATGTATATGGCTCTCGCACCAATTAAACCTTTAAAAGTTGTTGTGTCGACTTTTCTTCAAAAAGTGGCCTCTTCTATCTAACAGGAAGATGTTGTAAACTATTATAGGATGTTGTATCTTCCGATGAACACTTGTGGGTCAGAAAGTCAATAGATACATCATAAGGTGCATGGGAATGGATATTTTGTAACCGAAGCGGACATTTTATGGCTGAAATGGACTTTTTTACGAAGGAGATTGACATTTCTGGATGAAATTAGTATATTATATCCCGTTGCTGAAGAATGCCTTTTAAGATTGAATATGGATATTTGTGGCTGAGAGCAAGTACGACTAAGGAAGACAAGTTGTAGACGAAGAAGGTATTTTAAGTACAGTATGGGTGAAAAAGATCATATTATGAACTGATGTAGTATTTTCCATCTTCATAGAAAATGATGCATGTTTTTATGCCTTTTATTACACATCATAGTTACATTCTACGTAACACGAAGAGAATAATGTAAATACCAGCCTAAATAAAGTAGTTCTCCCTGTTCATATATATATATATATATATATATATATATATATATATATATATATATATATATATATATATATATATATATATATATATATATACTGTATATAACATTCTCTCTCATAACAGTAAAGAATGGGCAGGTTGAGAGTTTGTGTTTAAGTGACAAACATTAAACAGAACAATTTAAATGATTTAAGTGGCAGGATGTATTAAAGAGCCGTCCATAGAAGATAATGTTGGATGTTTAAGGGAAAGAGCATAAGGAAATAAATTTAAATAGTAAAATTTACATGAGGATTAGATAATTTGCAAGATGGTGAGTGAATAAATCAATAATACTCTACAATACTGATATATGTTAACCAACAAATTATGAAGTTTCCTATAGAACAAAACTTCTTTCTTGTTTCTTGAATATCCCCCAAAAGGTAGTGGAATTGTAACTTTACCAATTTTATTTTCTTCTAAGACTTGAACATGAATATAATCGACGTGCCAGCTCCCATATTGATTTGTTTATATTACAGTATATGATTAGTTTTGTCGTAGATAAAATGAACCAACTAAATCTACCTAACCTACCTGTCCAAGAGGTAATAACACCCAACTTACGCAAAACAATACTAATGGCCCTACCACTTACCTTATGCAATTCTAAGCAACTTTTCTTCTTTAAACATCCGTCGGAAATTACTCTGTCAAAATATTAATTTTCTAGATAACAATAGATACCATAATAGCAATAGCTACATTAACTACAACCTAACCTGAGTCTGTCCAATAACACCTGCAACTTACGAATTTTCATAATAATAAACTATTCATCGTTATATAAGATCATGAGAAGTTTCCAAAAGTTCGTATATTTGGTTAAATATTGTACAAATTATATTAATGTATTGGCAACTCAACTACAACGAGGAACGACGACTGCCACAATATTCTCAGATCAAATTTTCTTCATCATTTAAGCAAATGTAAGATAATTTGGAAACTTCTTATGATCTTATATAACGATGAATAGTTAATTATTATGAAAATTCTACCTTTGGGTTGTTTAATATTTATCCTGACATTAATACAGCTGAAAATATATCCACCAATCACAATCACCTTTACATACAACCTTACTTTACCAAGTATTGCCAGGTAAAATTGCCAGTACAAGACTCAGGTTGGGGTCGCTGGTTCTCTGGCTGACTGTACATTGTGGGAGAGCTGCAGCCAATGAAATAAGATTATTAAATATCAGCTAATCATTATTAGAAATAAGCCAATCATCTTCTTCCTTGAGGCGCCAACCATGTTTGTGTGCACGCTGCGACTGGAACTATTTTGCTGCCATTTCCGAGTTCTATGAGAATAACGACAGGGCTTTAGACTTTCATCGTGAACACTGTGTTTTGCCCAGTCTCCTCCAAAGTGCCCAACGAATAATAAATACCTTATTTATGGTATAAAACAGTAGATTTGGTGTTGTCGGCAGATATTTTTGCTCAATACTTAAAAAAAAAAATATTTCGACAACGAGTATTTTCCGACGGATGTTATAGGAGAAAAGTTGGTTCATATTTACAGTAGTAGTCACTACTACCTAACTGAATATTGAGTTGTATATGGGGAGATAGAGAAAACAAATAAAAAAATATATTCTATAACGTTTCTGTCGGAAATTTATAGTTTTCGAGTTATTTTAACCTTTATTTTATAATATTTTGCCAATCAGTGTGTTTTGATGTGACGTCCTAGTCGTGTGCGCCAATCAGCGTGAGTGCTGATGTGACGTAATACTCGTGCGCAAATCAGCACAGCACTAGTTTCACTCTCCATTCGCGGCCAGTTGGAAGATGGTGTCTGTGTAAAACGGGTGAACGTTGGCTGGCTGGTGCATTATTCGGTGCACTTTGTTCAATGAAGCAGCAGCCGTTGTCATTTTTTAGGGTTCACGGTGTTCTTGTTTCATCTGTAAAGTGTCCAAGATGTAATTCGGAGTGTCAGTACCGTGTAGATCGCCATGTGTGGTACTCCTGTGATTAGAGACGGACACTTGACGAAGACACCACTTCCTCATTCAAGTCGCATCACTATCAAGGAAATTTTCTTACACATTAAGGGTTAGGCTGGGTTTTTTATCTTTTGAGGTTTTTACATTGTTTGACCTAACACTTTTTTTCTTCAATATCTCAACTCCTCATTTCCAACGGCATTGAAGGTTGCATTTGTATTTAACTCGATAATTTACACTATAAAAACCCATTTTCAAAAGTCAATTAGGTGGTGGCAACTACTAAATATGTACCGAAAAGTTGCTTAGAATTAGTATTGTGCCCGAGTTGGGTGATGTTCAGGAAATTTACCGTTCTAGAATGGAAGTAAATACCATTTTAGGTTAGTTTT